AATCCGTAGTAAAAAAAGTATGTTGATGACCACTTTAATCAGCCAGCGAAAGGAGCGAAAGTCGTGCTGTATTGGTCCAAATTACATTTTTTTACAGTTAAGTGCTCGAGGTCACCAGGTTACCGAAGATAGGGTGCCATCCCCTCGAGGGTCCCATCCGAAAACACGCCATCAAAATTGTGATGGCGTGTTTTCAGATCATCCTTAGGGGTGTTTCCCAAATCGTCGCCAATAGCTCTAGTGCGACGTAAATATACTACAACTTTTTATTAAAAAAAAAAAATACTTACTAAAATTTTTATTTTACTTAAAAAAAATTTAACTTCTTCAATTTAAAATCTCCAAGTTCGTAAAATAATAAATATCAATAATTATAATTAAGCATTACTTTTTTTCCTCAAGGAAAAAAAAATTCAAGCTTTAAAACATTTATTGAATTTTATTTAATTAATCATTAAATAAATTCGTAATACAAGTGAAAAAAACGAAAGTTTCTTCCTTAAGCAATAGAATAATCAATCGAATATTCAGTAAAAGAATATACAAAAGGAGAAATAATCTTTTATTCGAATCTGTAACAAAATGATAAAAACGAAACATAAAGAACAAGGTCAAACCTCTACCTGTTATTCTAAATCTGACTTTTATGTTCCGACTCATCTTTTTATTGGGTTTCCTGTTAAATTATTTGAACAATATTATAGTAAATAATTTATATTTTCGGATTATTAAGAAATTCTTTGCGGGCGACGGTTACTAACCCTAATCTTGATGATGTAAACTTTGAGGAAATACTTTGTTGTGTGTGAAAAAAGTTGCCTTTTTTTATAACTAGCTTTTGTAGCTAAATTGACAATTAGATAAAGCAAATTTCTAATGAGTGCGTCACTTTAGTTTTTTACAAAAATATTTAAAGTGCATTATTTCAAACCAAAATATAATAATTCATATTAACTGGAATGGAAACTTCCCCGCTTTTTTATTAAGTTTGGATTTCCTGTTAAATTATCTGAACAATATTACAGTAAATAATTTATATTTTCGGATTATTTAGAAATTCTTTGTTTGCGACGGTTACTAACTCTAATTTTGCTGATGTAACCTTTGAGGAAATACTTTGTTGTGTGTGAAAAAAGTAGGTTTTTTTATAACTAGCTTTTGTTGCTAAATTAATACATAATTAGAAAGCAAGTTTCTAATGGGTGTGTCACTTTAGTTTTTAAGAAAAATATTTAAAGTGCATTTATATATCAAAATAAAATATATAATTATTTACATTAACTGGGATGCATACTTTTCCGCTTTCTGCTAAAGTTTTAATAAATTGTTAACGAAATAAACAGTTAATCTCGTAGAATAAGAATAATTACGCTCACTCTTCAAAAGTGTCATCAGGAGATAACTGTATTAGTTTAATGGAATGCCATACATTTGAAGGCCTTGTATGCTCAATATAGGCTTATAAATCTTTGTCAAGAAGAACAGATAGAACAATTCAGAGAAAGTCATCACGAAGAATAAATACATCCAGGGTAAAAGCGGGATTCGAATCAAACCCGCTACCTCCAAACTTGTGAGATGACTACAATGAAGTTGAATTTCATGTGATTGATTTGGGATATAATGGTGAAAATATCACTTAAAAAGAAAATTACTAAAGTAAAAGTAACTTAAATTTCGATACCACTAGAAAATGTTTTTGTACTTACAAGGGAAACTAGGGAAGTGTGACTCGCCAATTTTGAAATAAACTAGTGGGATGTATGCCTTATGAGGAATAATTTTAGGGGGAAACATTCGTTTCGGCCCATAGAAGGTCCTGTAAGCGATAAAAAATAATTCAATCTATAGAAAAATCAGTATTTTATTACTTCAATGCAGACTATTAGTTATTGTATTTGTCTCATACTCCAATTAATTTTGTGGTACTTTCACGTACTATATAATGCATATTTATTGTCAAAATTGATTTCGAAAATTGTATGTATCTGTAATTTTTTAGAAAAACCTATTAGGTTAATTTTAAAAAAAAAAATTTGACATCAAATTTGTTTAATTTTTTTTTTCAAAAAACTTTTCAAATTAATTGGAGTATGTAATTGCAAATTAATTAATAATTAATTAATAATTAATTCAAAATTAATTAATTTGCTAATTATTTTATTAATTAGAAAATTAATTAATCAATTAATTACAAATTAATTGCAGTATGAGACAATTACAATAACTAATAGTCNAATTAATTAATTTTCTGATTAATTTATTAATTAGCAAATTAATTGCAAATTAATTGGATTACGAGACAATTACAATAACTAATAGTCTGCATTGAAGTAACCAAATATCGATTTTTCTACATATTGAATTATTTTTTATCTCTCACAGGACCTTCTACGGGCCGAAAAGAATGTTAACTAGTTTATTAATTAGCAAATTAATTAATTATCCAATTAATTACAAATTAGTTGGATTATGAGACAATTATAATAACTAATAGTCAGCATTGAAGTAATAAAATACCGATTTTTCTATAGATTGAATTATTTTTTATCTCTCACAGGACCTTCTATGGGCCGAAACGAATGTTTCCCCCTAAAATTATTCCTCATAAGGCATACATCCCACTAGTTTATTTCAAAATTGGCGAGTCACACTTCCCTAGTTTCCCTTGTTAGAGGAGCAAATTGGCATCTCTGTATTTGGGTGAACATACAGGGGTAAAAAAATATGGAAACACTTCTATACTGACTTGACGTCAACCGATTTTTTAGGAGTAAATGTCGAATTTCACATATCGTATCAAATGTTGAATTTTACATGTCGAAATCGTTAGCATAAATTGAAAGATCATACTTGAAGCTTTTAGAAGTGGAGTTCTTCTTACAAATGCGAAATTTGCATTGATCATAATGAGCGTAGGAATTTAACATTTTCTTTTCTTTTTCTCAATACCATAATTAAAAATGCATTCTAATATACAGTGCGCAAAAAAAAGGGAAAAAAATGGAAACCCATTGATAACTTTTGGTCTAATGATCCGATTTTCACGTTCTAGGATACAATCTTGAAAGCTATTGGGGGTGACCTCAAATATGCTAAATAATAAGTGCAGACGATATTTTAAGTTGCGAAATCAGACTCTAAAACGTAATTTCTCTGAATAAACATACCTTTATCGACGGATTCGGATTTCTGACTCCTAAATTATAGAGGGTAGCTGCATATCTAGGAAAAATGGTATGAATAGTTTGATCAGGAGAGCGGTCTAATGTTTGGAAACCTTAATGTTTATTTTACATTTTTGCGTATTTCGAAATTTTTCTACAACTTTTCAACCGAATTAAAAAAAAATTTGCACGCAATTATAAAATTCGTTTATCCAAAGATAATTCCATGCAAAATACAACTTTTAGCAAATATATATTATTTTCTTAAAGTAAAATAATAAATATTTCTCATATAGCAAACTATGGGGACCATATTTCTCAGATTGCGGCTACTCATATTTTGAGTATCAGAAATCTGAATCCGTAGTAAAAAAAGTATGTTTATTCAGAGAAAGTAAATTTTTGCGTCTGATTTCGAAACATAAAATATTGTCTGCACTTATTAATTTGCATATTTCAGGTGACCCCCTCAAACCATTAAAATTGAATCCTAGAACGTGAAAATTCGATCATTAGATCTAAATTCCGTACGTCACACCTGTTTAAAGGGTGGACCCATTCATAAATCGATTCATTCATCCACAGATCGTAATGTTGACCTGAATCAGTTAACGATCAATCTTCAATTCAGTTCCCCCAGAAGTATAATTTAATATGAGAGCATGGAGGACTTTGTGACCCGACAGATTTACCGATCACTATTTACCATTTACAACACTTCTTTGGCTAGTTAAATTCGCCACCACCGCCCTGCCGACCAGGTTGTCCCGCCCCATAGCATCAGTTTCTTTAATCTTTTAAATTTTAAAAAAGTGGCCACACGTTCTAAAAAGTGTCATCAACTTGCTTAGCTGCAGTGGCTACAACTAAAAATGCTACACTTATCAGTAGCTAAGTTTCCTAATTTTGCCCTATACACGTAGAGTAGTAGTCATTATTTTTACTTTCTTCGTGACTATTTCTATGAACTAAATAGCATGAGTTCTGTTTTAAAGGTTGTAATATGATTTTATAGGTCCATTACCTCCACCTATACCGAAGGACTTCGAGGCTCGTAGAGAATTCGTCAACTATATGGACAAAGATATAGTCTATGAAGAAACCTACTATGACTTTACGAACTCTCGCGCGAAGCATGTCATATTGACAAACGGTTATGAGAAACACTACATTTTGGATTATAAAAATCAACAAGTTATAGCCTATGACAGACTTCATCCATACGGTGAGTAACAACTCTTTATTTTTAAAATATATATTCATAAATAAAAACTTTTTTTTTAATATTTATTAAAAGTCGATAAAGAAAAAGATTATTGAAAAAAATTAAAGTTTACAATATAATTGTGACCAACTACAGACCAGAGGAAAATCTCTAAAAAAGAGAGCTAGTCGTTAAAAGATGTTGGATTGTAAATTAGCTACCGGGAAATTCTGTCCTAAAAAAACACGCCTAATTATACAAAGATCCAAATAGTGCCTTAGTATAAGAAAAAAGTAGTGGAGCATTTACCCTTAAATGTATATGTAACGGCCAATGAAAACTGTCGGTTATTATTAATAATAACCGGCTAATATTAATAATAATCAAATAAGCCGGTAATAGGGAACAATTAAGCTAATTTATCATATAAACCGGTTATTATTATTGATAACTAATTAAGTTTGGTCAATGTCATTCTTTAGCGTTTTTATTAAGGATATTTCCGTATCCTGAACTGCCTCACCAACAATAATCGCCAGGGCACCAAATTGATTTTAAACTGGAAAAATTTGAGGAAAAAAACATGTAGATTTTGCCCGGGAGTGGCTACGAACTTTACCCTTCAAGTCGATCTCTTTCTGCGATGTTTTTTTTTTAGTTCCCCTTGGGCCGCTGCACGGAAGTTGACAAGACATGACAATTATTCCACCAAAGATCACGATACGAATACCTCCATTTTTTACTTCTCATTTTGACCAAAAGAAGCGGTTATTATTAATATAGAGCGGTTAGTATTAATAACAACCGGATTTATCACTTTAACCTTAACACATGTTCAAAGAGGCACACTCATGTCCCAATACCTAAACCGTTTAATATCTAGATTTAAATTCAAATTGAAATTGTATATTTTAGAAATATTTATTTAAAAACATATTTTTCATACTTATTTCATTATTTTGTATAAATTTAGGTCAAAATAAGTGAAAAATATTGTATTTAATATTTTAATAATTTATATTTATATGTTATAAGTTTGACCTGATATAGTACATTTTAGAAACATTTAGTAAGAAAACGTATTTTTAATACTTTTTTCATTATTTAGTATAAAATAAGGTCCAAATAAATGAAAATATTATATTTAACATTTTAATAATTTATAGTTATGAAATATAGCATGAAACACAGGTGTCTTTTTTTGCGTAAAATCTTCCAAACGCGGAAACACTTCCAAACGATAAACATATTTGCAGTTATTTAGATCTAAGAGAAACAGTTGATCATCATTAAGATTTCCTTAATTAAGATTTACAAATTCACTTATTAATAAATTTTTGAAAATGAATTTAAAAAAAATTCGAACTACTTTTTCTGGATTTCTTATTTTAGAACAATATAATTCCGAGAATCAAGCAGATTTTTTAGGCAGTTTTTATAATTAAAAAATACCAATACCTATTTTTACTGGTTCGTCAGAAAAGAAACATCTAAAAGGAGCACAGATGTCCGAAAGGGTTAAGAGTTCAAGAACTGTTAATCCAGGTTATTGCTTAAGGTATTTAAAGTCATGAAATCAGATACAAAAACATAGTTAACCTGTAGAAGTATATTTTTTTCCAACGAATTTGGATTCTTGAACCATACTATATGGGCTGTAATCAGTGGTGTAGCTAGGTAGCCAAGGGCCCTGGGGCAAATTAAAAAAATGGGGCCCCACTAATATGTAAACTGATTAGGTTTTATCAAATAAAAATAAAAAATATACAAATACTTTAAAAATGCTAAGCTACTTAAACTCTTTTTTGTGCACTGCAGGGCAGGTAATAAAAATATTAAACAGTAACAACATAAATTACAATTAATACTTGGTGCAGGTTTGGCTAATAAAACGAACTAGAGAAGATACAAGGGTTTATTATATAAAAGTCGGACCTACCAACTGACTAAATAACAATTATATTTACAATTTTTTCCTAGCTTTAGTTTTCGCAAANTAAATAAATCAAGCAATTATAACTCCTCCCACAAATAAACTGTTAAAGAATTACTTTGACTACCAGTTTTATCTTTTCACCCTGGTTGATACGGCTTTATGCTGGCACGTATTTGTGACAGTCGGTGCGAAAGGGTTAATAAGAGTAGAAAAAATATTGAATCGTACGGTCGACAATTCAATCAGAAGTTTACCATTCTTTTCTCATTTCGTAACTGTTCTGTGACTTGTTGTTTTACAATAAACCATTTAAATGCACTTTACAGATGACATTAAAAAAGATCCCCTGTCTCACGTTTGCACAACCATTGATTTGGAAGACTTTACATCTGACTTCAGTTCTACGGGTCGTGGAATCAGTATGCGCCCATCCAGTTTTGAACTAGAGTTTGGAGGAAAATACCCGTACGCTTTTAATGGAACTGATAGAATGAAACAGCGTGGTCTTTTGACGGATAAATTCATTGGCTGTGTCTATCAAGAAACTATTGATGCAACGATGAATATTTCCTACTTGTTCACAAGCAAAAGTAGTAAGTATTGTTACTTAAAATAATAAATAAATTTATATCCATACATGTGTGTTATGAATTTATTATGCAGGAAGTGCCGAGAAGTAATTTTTCACAGATTTTTATTTAAAAAATTTGAATTTCTTATTGATTGATAGTAATTTTAAATTGAAACCACCGATTCCTTTTTTAAAAATTGCGAATTTCCGATTGATTTGGTAGTAATCTTGTTAGAAACCACTGGTTCTAATTTATAAATTGTAAATTTCTCATTGATTCGATAGAAATAATGATAGAAATCACCGATTCCTATTTAAAAATGGCGAATTTCTTATTGATTCGATGGTAATTGTGATAGAAACCACGGGTTCTTATTTATTTGTGAATTTTCTATTGACTCGGTAGAGTAATTTTGAAGAAACCTCAGGTTCTTATTCAAAAATTGTGAATTTCCTATTGATTCGATTATAATTTGAATGAAACCACAGCTTCTTATTTAACTGCGAATTTCCCATTGAGTCGATAACAATTTCGATAGAAACCACACGCTTTTACTTTTAAATAGTGAATTTCTTATTGATTCGATGGTAATTGTGATAGACTGATTTCTAACGGTCTTTATTGTAATTTGAATTTTATTTAAACCACTGGATTTACTATTGGATTTTACTTACAAATTAAGAAATTTTAGTTAATACTCTTGCAATTTTGATAAAAACTTTACTTTTTTCATTTCAAAACTTGTGATTTCTTTTATTCACTAGTATATGTGATAGACACTATTTAATAAAGTATGAATATCTTATAGATTTGATTGTAATTTGGTAGAAACCACTGGATATCACTTAAAATTTTTAAATTTCTCATAGATTCGCTTGTAATGTTTTTGGAAACTACATGTTTTTATTTCGAAGTTAAAGATTTCTAATTGATTTTCGTGTAATTTTGTTAGAAAGTACAAGATTTTATCTTAAAATTGTGATTTTCGTATTCATTCATAAAATACTCAGCATAGTGTTATGTATAATTAAGCATATCGGATAACGAGAGTAAAAGCACAAACACACATTTTTGTCGAAATTATAAAAGATTTGTTTTGCATAAATGCGGCAAAATTCCACGTGGCTAAATACAGCAACCGTTAAATTTGCAGTAAAAAGCATTGACATTCTTATTACCAGTACTTTTTATGACGAATTTTGAATTTGCAATTGAAAGTACTAGCATCTTTATTGTCAGTATATTTCCTGGTAAGTGTTGAAATTAGCAGAAAAAAGTACAGACACCCTTTTTGACAGAACATTTTCCGTAAATATCCAGGTGTTTTCATTCTTCTTTTTAACAGTGTAGGACTACATTTCATGTCAAAAATTTCGATTATTACCACTTATCATTTTATAAAGGTTCCATTTTAATTCAACCGCTGATATTTTAAACTGTAACTCTTTACAAATATCTTATTTACTTTTTTTCGAATTTAACGTGTGGCTGTTTCGAAAAGCTTAAGTAGACAAGGACATTTTTTTATTTTCTATGTTATTCAATACCCTGTTGTAATATTTGTTGAAATAATAATTTCATCAGATCTAGGTGTTGGGACAGCAGCTGGAACAAAGGAAGGTGATGTGACAGGTATAGACAACGGATTTCTCTCTGTACCTGTGAGAGCTGACATTTATGGGTCTTCGTCCAGTAGTGAGACTGAAGATATATTGTACTTCAACAGGACGGTTAATTACTTTTGGTTCAAAGGAGAGCCAGAATTCAAAATGGACACTTTTAAGGTAAAATACTCATTCCACAGTCACAGACTGTCTTTTGATATTGGATTTAGGGCAAAATTAATAGTCCCAACGGTACAAAATGGATAATTTAAGATAAAAGACTGATTCCGAAATTGACATAGTGACTTTTGATCTTGGATTTAGGACAAAATTAATAGCCCCAAGGGTACAAAATGGATAATTTCAGATAAAAGACTGATTCCGCATTGACATAGTGACTTTTGATCTCGGATTTAGGGCAAAATTAATAGCCCCAAGGGTACAAAATGGATAATTTAAGATAAAAGACTGATTCCGCATTGACATAGTGACTTTTGATCTTGGATTTAGGACAAAATTAATAGTCCCAAGGGTACAAAATGGATAATTTAAGATAAAAGACTGATTCTGCATTGACATAGTGTTTTTTGATCTTGGATTTAGGGCAAAATTAATAGTCCCAAGGGTACAAAATGGATAATTTAAGATAAAAGACTGATTCCGCATTGACATAGTGACTTTTAATCTTGGATTTAGGGCAAAATTAATAGCCCCAAGGGTACAAAATGGATAATTTAAGATAAAAGACTGATTCCGCACTGACATAGTGACTTTTGATCTTGGATTTAGGGCAAAATTAATAGTCCCAAGGGTACAAAATGGATAATTTAAGATAAAAGACTGATTCCGCATTATCATAGTGTTTTTTTGATTTCGAACTGTGGACTCGCCACTGGGTTAGCCCCTTGAGTCAGGCTAACCATGGGAGGTTTTCGTGGTTTTCCTCTCCATGTAATGCAAAAGCGTTTTTTTAAATTTGAAAGGTTTTTCGATATTCGAAGTTCCGTCAAAAATATTCACATGGTAGCAGACGATTTAAAGCAGTGTTAAGTTTTCCTAATTTCACAATCACTTCAATTTATATAATATTTATATAATATTCCTATAGCATATATCATAGTTCTGAATTCTTGTGATTATTAAGTAATTTTAAACACACGAAATATATTTTACAGTATAAATCTTGCTACCACTTCAATATTTTTAGCTGACCTTTGGGAGCTTTCACTATCGAAAATCGGCATGATTTTGTTAATACGCCAATCCAATATGTCATCATAGTCCTGGTCTGAAATTGCTCAAGGTTTTTCATATGGAATTATTAAATCTTGTGAAATGGTCCTCATGATTTAAAATAGAAAAAATAAAAGGATTTAAAGATCTTGATAAGAAAGAAGATACGATATTTTAAAATTTTTGACGTGATCATCGATCCGTGGGTGGAACGAATAAAAATAATCTATTTTAAAATGAAACAAAAATAGAACGCCTACAGCGGCAATATCTGCATATTGCCACTGTAGTTAAATTTTTTCAATTTACTTTAATTTTTTCAAAATATTTATGGAGTGGTAGACATTTTTTAAAAAAAAGCTTCCGGAATATTTGGTAATTTTGCCATCAATTTAAAGGCTTCAGCACGAGTGAACTGGAACAAAACGGTGTTGCATATGAACTTTTAATTCATTTATAGGTATTGCAGACCTGCCAACTTTTAATCCCTTCCATTATCATTTTTCCCAGTGGTATTAAAATGGAATTAAAACTTCAATTTTAAGCAAACAAATAAGTTGTATTTGAAAGAAATTAAGTTAACAACCATGATAGTAACGCATATTAATATATAAGCTTAATTTATGAAAGAATAATGGTGATCAAAATCATTTAAAAATTAAATTTATAAAAGAAAAAATAGTATATATTTACTACCACTTTAAATATGAAAATAAAATCTCCCGCAAAATCCGGGAGAGTTGGCAGGTATGGTACTGATGTGGAAAGTAAGTTTAAATGAATAAAAATAATAAATTTAACCATAAACATAGCTACCACTAGAATAAATTTTTACAAAAAGCGAAGAAAGTTGGCTATCCTGCATTTAAATATGGAGAAAGAATGACCCTGAGAAGGGCCTATAGATTATGATATATTAGTTGAATTTGTTTGATAAAATAGTACCCTACTAGTACCCAATATGTTTACTTGACATGAACTTGTGTTTGAACTTTTAAATACTTAAATAAAAATTAAACTATTATCAAAGGAATTTGTTAAGTATTCATTTTTTATTCAAATGACTTATAAATCGAACTACATTCATGACTCACCAACTTATTATCCATATTACCGATAAGAAGTATACTTATTATTATTATGACAGTTAAGCTATTAAAGTTTTCATATTTTATGGGTAGTTTTTCCCAATATTAATCATATAATAGCGTTTTATGATATTGCATCGATATAGATTTTATTGACGAAGGTCGTTTGTGCAGCTGGGGAAAGAAATTTCTCTGAATGTTTACTTGTTTAACACTGAACTGCAGTTTTTATTTTACAGTCATCAAACATTAAGTAATATATGAAGGCAGTAAATAATCGTTCGAATATTCTAGAAACAGCTGAGTAGGAATTTTTATTACTTTATTGTTCTTATTATAATAGTTTATGTCATGTATAATTATTTTTATTCTCTACCTCTTTACTTATTTATTTTGGTTTAACATGTGCGATTCTAACGACTTTAATTTAAGGAGAAATACCTGTTCCAAGTACATGTTCCAAAAATGAGTGAAGATTTAGAAAAAAAATCAAGCGAATGGAGAATGATAATAATGCGGAGAAATTTTTAATTGATAGTTTGGCGAGATAAGTTGTTTGTATTTTGTCAGCATTTGAAATGATAAGTAGAAGTGCCAAATTTAGAACTTAACTTAAATAAAATTTAAGCAGCATACTCGTAATTAACATCGTGCAGGATGGCGGGTGTCGAACATAAAGAAAGATGAAAAGCCTAAAAACAAAATTTCGCAAAATTATCTATGCATATTTCATTGATTTGAATTCAGTTCTGTTCATTTGGGGTTACACTTCAGGTTTGGTAGTAAAGCTTACAGGTTCAACAGGTACTTGAACCTAGTATGTTGTAGATTCAACCACAGAAATTTCGAACATTGAACCTAGTTTGTCGTTGATTCCACTGCAATAGCAAAAAAAAAAAAAAAAAAAAAAAAAAAAAAAAAAAAAAAANAAAAAAAAAAAAAAAAAAAAAACTTTGTTAGCAATAAATTTTATCACATTAACTCTTTAAATATTGTAAGAATCTACAACTTTCACCCTGGGGAATATTTAAATATAATATCATTGTAATTATATAACTTTAACAGTGGCAAAGAAAAGAAAAGAAAATTCGATCATTTAATAAATATGCGTTCAGCACTATCTTTTGTTTTGTGAAGAAAATGTATTCATGAAAATTGTGTCCTACAAGAAATCTGTGTGTTAAAGTGAAAATAATTCCTGCTTCAATTAGTGTAAATTTACAGTTGCTAAAAGATTTAGTTTATACTGACTTATTCGCAGCCCCTAGTAATCATTAAGTATTTCTGTTAATCATTCTTGCTGCCACTTCAGAGATGCCAACTGCTCCGCTTTCTGAAGATTTTTTTTATGTATTGGTATCGAATTAAATAGTAAAACCTGTAGAATAAGTATAATTACTCCCGTTTTTTTGAAAGAGTGACCACAAGATTAATGCAATGAAGCTGCCTTTGTTATGACACTTCGAATTTCGGATACGTAGTTGATGGAAAAGTACTAAACTAAAAATAACCTAAATTTTGTTACCACTAGAAAGCACTTTTTAACAAAACGGATCAAGCCTCCACACTGTTTTTTTGCAGGTAGTTTGACTTGTTTACTATGAAAGTCCTAGTCCTAGTGTTTTGATTTTGCGGCCCCTATCCCATTCATCTGGAATTTTAGAACAGTTTTGGTTGAGCAATGAGGTAAGCAGGCAATGGAGTTGCTTTTATGAATGTTTCAAGCTCTTGAATAACTAAACTCTGCTTGAATAACTAAAAAGGAATCAAAAATAAATTGAGCAGCTTGCTCTAAACTGTGTTTGTTTGATNGGATTTTGTTCTGGCATATTTTGAGTTTTTTAAGGAGTGATGTAGAGATGTTGCACCAAGCTGGAGATGCATAAGTCAGGATGGGACGGATCATCGAGATGTAAAGTAAACGTTTAAGTCTGAGTTCCATTTTAGGGTTCTGAAGAAGGATTTGTAATCTGTGGCAGGCTGTTTGTGGTTTGTTGATGACTGTTTATTACTATGAAATTAAATCAAGAGACATTAAATATAAAATCTAGCAAAAATAAGAAAGTGGTACCATACATATGTCTAAAAATTTGTTTAATTTATGAATGTGATTGGTTTGTCCCATTTGTTTGCCAACCACCTCAAATTCAATTCTGAAATATATAATAAATTTCTCTATCGAATTTGGAAATCCCAAAATATAAGGAGAAACTGGAGTTTGGGAAATTTTTTCCCCTAATTTGGTCGGGAGAGCGATCCAAATTTTGGACCCCTTCATATTAATTTTTCTTCCTGCGTTTTTTCGCCATATCTCGAGAACTCTCTAAGAGAATAGAAAAACTTTGCACACAATTATGAAAGATAATTCAATGCATAAGATAACTTTCCGTAAATATTTATTCTTTTTTATTATTTTAATTAATAATGGTTAAAAAAGTTTTACATTGAAAAGTATCAAGTTTTTTACATAATTTTGAAGAATGTGAAGAATCACAATGTAAAATACAAAATTTGAGCAAAATCGGCCAAAGAGTTTCTGAGAAATTTAATTTTAAATATACGACATTTTTAAAATTTGATTGATGTCGCAACTTAAAATATCATCTACACTAATTAACTAGCATATTTTTAGGTCCCCACCTCAAATCATTAAGATTGCGTCCTAGAACGAGAAGATCCGATCATTAGATGAAAAGCTATTCTGGGTGGTTCGTTTTTTTAACCGCATAGTACATATATTAACCATAAATCATTAGTATCTTAACTCAAAAAGTTTATTTCGCTCTTGCGATGCACATCCTATCTTTATCTAACAGGTTAACGACTGCACAGTATTTATTTTCGATTAATGTCGATATAACTGTGACCGAAACTGTTCTTATTTCCAACATTTCATTGTATTGACTCTTCCTACTCAAAATGGTCATTAAATAAATGATCGACAGAAAATGGTCTCGAATCATGTGTTTTAATTTTATATCCAATAAGGGCAATGAAAAATTTTGTAGTTAAACTCTTTGCAGCGTATATCAATTTCTTAAAACAGTGACATTCAACCGAAGGAGGCATTCATTTAACCTCTGAGGACAATAAAACTTTTAATTCATTATTATTGTTTTTTAGTTTGTAATTAAATTTTTATCACATATTTGCTTACACAAATGATTTTATTAAGAATAAAGTAAGAATTTGTTATGAATTTTTTTGTCACTAGGAGGCTACGTTCATCAACCTCCTTGTTTGCTTATCATTCATTGTTTTTATATCAATAGTCAAGCATTTAAAAAAAAAAGATAATTTAGAATAGAATTCAATTGAATAATTGGCAATAGAATTTAGTTGAATAATTAGCAATAAAAAAATAACGATACTTTGCTCTTGGTGTATGAAAAAATGAGTTAAACGTATAAAGGGCCTCACTATCTTCAATAGTTTAGAATCCGTCTAAGCTTAAATTCCGTTCATGAAAAGAGAAAAAAAATGCAATTGTTAGTAACGAACTGAAAATAAGTTTTTTTTAAAAATATTTTTCCCGTTGCACTGAAGAAGTTTGACTTTGGAATAAACTGATACGGATATACTAATTTATTTATTTTTGTAACGGAAATCCCGCTGCAATTAACAGGATATTACATTTAAAATAAGTCACAGCACAACCCTTCAATTTGTTGCCATTGTGTTTAATTGCCATGCGTTACATCTTCTGATCTAACCCTAAATTGCTAGATATATAGTTGTACAAAGTGCCTGCCCGCAAAGCGGGCATCTGACTTTTTCATCGCATAATGTGTGCCCTTGGGCGACTAAGACTTTTGGCTTTAGGGTAGTGAGGAGAGAATGGAGTACGGGGGAAGCCCCCTGAGTCAAGGTAGAATTGAAGATGATGAGAGTTATAATGCACCAAGTTATGTACAGATCTGATAGATTAATAATATATATACAATATTATAATTAGTAAATTAGATATTAAAAAACAGTATAATTACATTATATTTACATACATTTACATTTAGTATACCTCGGTTGAAACAATGACCCGGTCGTCTATATATTAAAATAGGTTTGAAATCGATAGTGGTTATAAAAATATTTCTGTATTTCATTTTCTAATGTTTCATTGTTTTGCTGGTGCTTTATCTTTGTAAGTAAAAGATGCCATTTTGCACCGCTTTAAAAAAAGAAGGATTTCATAGTGGTAACGAAATTCAAATGATTTTAGTTGAGTATTTTCCATTTTAAGTAATTTCTCCTCTGTTGCACATCAAAAATTCGAAGTATTGATATGAAGTGAAACTTCTCATGGTTACTCGTACATAGAGTGGGCGTGTATAACCTTATCCTAAAAGTTTTACTATTTAATTCGCTACCAATATATTAAAGATTTTGCAGAAAGCTGATCAGTTGGCATTTCCTACCAACGTTTAATCTTTTTGAGGATGATTTTCCCAGTGAGAGTAAAATGAAAATTGAATTACAATTAAAGGCTGATACACATTTTGAATTTTCTGCAAGTTAAAATCAGGTATGCAACAACTACGCTTTTTGAAAATTGAAATTAGGGATAAGGGAAAAGAGAGAAAGAATGAACAAGACAAACAAACATAACAGTTTGATTAATAATGGTTAAATAACAAACAAAAGCATTATTTATTTGTATTTTTTTGCATTAAGAATATGAGGAAAAAATGCTAGTGGATATAAGTAAGCAGAGTGAGTATAATTTATCAAATGAGAATATATATAGTATATAGGAGTTCGTGGAGCATAAGAGGAAATAACGACAATAATTTAAAACTCAAACTTAGCATTTAATAGGAAAAAGGAAATAAGTTGCATTAAAACAGTGATATCATGACCGGTGAGAACTGCCTTCTCGCAGGGTCGCCCAGGGCCGGCTTATGCTTGTCGCGGCCCCTAGGCAATGCTCGTCTCGCCACCCCCCTACCGTCTTCTAACTTCCTAATATATTTTTTCGCTAACACAACACTTTATTCATAATTACGCTGTTTTTTACTACATAGGCATGTTATCACATTATTCAATAAAAATATTGAATCAAACGAAAAGAATATAAGTAATTAATATATGCATTTAAAAAAAATCATACAATAAGCTTAAATATTAACTCTTCTAACTTTTTTTGTTACAAAATCGTTCAAGACATCCTGAAAGTTAACCTTTTCCAATACATCACTAATTATAATTACTGTTTAAGAAACATAGTCAATTTTTTTCTCTGTAGCACAGGGCCCCTGAACGTGACGGGGCCCCTAGGCAGTTGCCTACAGTGCCTAATGGATAAAACGGCCCTGGGGTCGCCGAATCGAATATGAATGCTAACGTAGATTGTTCTACGGAAAAAAAAGAGTTAATTATCACTTCGGGATTTTTCCCGAATGGAGAGGCTGTCGCCTTTCAACGAGGAAGTAGATGATGAATTTCTTCCAAATATTACATGATGACGGATGATGCAATTCGCAAATATATTACACTCTAACACTGTAACTATACAGGTATAGGACAAAATAATAGGAACACCTGTGAAAAAATGAAAATATTTTATTAATAAGGAGTTGGGCCACATTTGGCCTGAATGACAGCTTGCATTCGACGTGGGATTGACAAATAAAGGTCGTTAACAAAGTTCATTGGAATTTGCAGCCATTCCTCTTGGAGGGCTGTCTCGAGTTCAGAGAGTGTGCGTGGAGGAGGAAACCGAGCACGCACTTTTTTCTCCAAAAAACCCACAAAGGCTCAAAGATATTGAGATCAGGGGACTGAGGACACCACGTTAGATGGTCCACTTCATCATTATGCTCATTTAACTATGCTTGAATACAGTGAGACGTGTGAACAGGGGCGTTGTCATCTTGGAACACAGGACGTTCTCCCGGAAAGAGAGTATGAAGCATAGGGTGAAGATGATCTGCAAGGATGCTTCGGTAATGGTCCCCTTTGACCACCCCCCTCAAGACAACGAGAGGCCCCAATCCACGAGCAGATATAGCGCCCCACACCATCACAGATGCCATACTCCATGTTTCATGGTTGGAACCAAGCAGTCAACATGAAATACTTCTGCTGGCGTTCGCTACACGAACACACGTCTGGTAGTCTGGAATAGTGTAAAAGAGGATTCATTAGACCAGATGACTTGTTCCCATCGCAGTTGTGTCCATTTTAGGTGGTCTTGGCACCACTGTAGTCTCTTCAAAGCATTCCGCGCTGAAACTAACGGTTTTGGAATAGCTACTCTGCCATGAATGTTAGCAGCATGCAACTCCCGTTGAATAGTTTTCATGGATACAGGGTTCTGAAGGTGGGTATTCAACTCGGATGTTATCACCGGCAGTGTAGTCTTGTGTTTTCGAGCGACTATCCTCTTCAACACCCGTCTATCACGGTCTGACAACTTCGAATTTTTGCCGCTGTTGTGCCTCGCCGAAGACTCCTTACCCAACTTTGTGTATGCCGACAGAGTCCTTGATACAGTGGTCCTTGAAACACCTACTAGGTTCGCTGTTCTGGACACAGACGCTCCAGCCAGACGAGCTCCGATTATCATGCCTCTTTTAAGGTCAGAGATCGGACATAATCTCGTTTTGCTAGAAACAGATTTTTCTCATGCAAATCTCACACTGCCAAATGCTAGACAGATACCTTGCCTTTCATCACCACTGGGTGGCACATTCTTGCGACACGTGGCCGCCGCTTATTGGACGGTCGAGAACGACTCCATTCTTTCACAGGTGTTCCTATTATTTTGTCCTATACCTGTATATTTATATATAAATTCTAATTATGTAAAATATTAATGCATTAACTTTGATAAATAGTAAAAAACAGTACTTAAAATAGTTATTTATTTATTTATTTATTTTTTGAAAATGATAGGGTGTAAAATTTAGATGACTGTTAAAATTCGAAAAATCACCATAAAGTGTAAGAAATATTTTAGTACTTTAATTTCTGATTAAACTCATTGTTATTTTAGATTCCTTCTTATCTGTATTGCGAAGGCTATAGAGGAATAAAGGATATGCCTAGATTCCCCACAGCATTCTCAACTAGAGTCCAAAGAACAGTACTGAGTACTGACATATTAGGAAAAGCAGCCACATCTGAAATCACTTCCTTTGAAAATGTAAGTCTTTGTTTAAAATACATAAACCTTCAAACCGCAGCAGTTAAGAAATCCGCCCCCCCCCCTAAGCGATCGAGCTTCTTTTGGTGAACTTCATAAATAAGGTTTATTAGTGGCTGTAAATGTACTGAAATGAAAATAAAAAAAGAACTACAGTAGAGAACCGATTATCCGGAACGAGCAGGACTATCGCTATTCCGGATAACTGATTTTTCCGGTTTTCTGAATCGCTACAAAAAGCCGTTTTTTCTATTGTTAAAGTAGGCTTTCGAACTAT